ATTTGTTCGTAAAAAGTCGACTATTTTGAGAAAAATTAAAAAATCAAAATTTCCTGCCGTTCATTCCCTGCGCCAACATCTCTACTAAAGGATAACACTCGGTTTTTATGTTTCTGATGAACCAATTTTTGCCAGTGAGGGCAACCGAAAATCACCTTTTTTTTTGGACTCTTAGAAAAGTGGCCACAGACGACACAATTTACAATATTTTTACACACAAAAAATTGTGAATATAGTTCAGATATATAACTTACATATGCCAAAAATTTGTATTGATATTAATAAAACTGGCTGCAAAAAAAATTCACCAAAAAACCGCTTTTTTTTTGCACTCGAAGGTGACGTGTCCCCTTAAGAGTTATCATAATAATAAATAAAATTTACGAATGATCTTTTCCATTATCTTGATAAGAAATTAAACATTTTTTTTTATATTCAGAAACCTTACAAAATTATTATTAATATGAATTCTTTATTATTTTTTTAATTATTCGTGTTAGCATGATAAGATTGTATTATACTTAACACGTTGTACGTCGTACTGAATAGAGTATACTTCACTCTAATTAATCATCATTAAACCTTAATGAACTGATTTGGAGTCCAGAATTATTTCAAAAGAGTCAGTTAAAATAAAAATCTGAATTAAATAAAGATTAAATTATACCTCCTCGGATGAATTTATAATGAAAGGTTTATAAAGCTTGGAATGATTGATGGATCGATATTGTATTACTAAGTGACATGATAACCATTTTCTTCTAAAAGGGAGAAAGAAAAAGTAAATTAAAAATGAAACAGAGTATCGCGTCAGTAATTTATTTCAGACTCACTCCTTTAATTAAAAAAAAAAACAAATCATTTATACATTTTTATTACTTTTAGATTAAATTCTGTCATATAAATCATAATAATTTAAGGTGCAATAATTATTGAAAAAAAAGCTTGAATGTCTTTTATTATTATTTAATTACTTAATTTTTTCTTCTAGGTTAATAAAAGTAATAATTTTTTTTTTTTCAAAGAAGAAAGAACTTTTTCTTGCATATATCAATCCTTATATGCACACGTATATGCAAGATTTAATTATTCTGAGTTCACGTTATAACCATCTGCTGCGCATCTTTTGGAATCTTCGAAATCCTTAAAAAAAATAAATGAGAAGAGAAGAAAAGAAAAAGTCGGAATAAGATGAGCAAACAATGCATGGATGTTAAGTATTCAGATATGTTTCTTTTTCATTTTTTTACCTATATATATTTTCATATACTTTTTTTACTTACTTACATACAGATATCAGAGACTTTTTATTTTCCATTTTTTTTGAAACATTTGCAGAGACTTGTATAAACCATACTAAGGTTACGAAGAATAAAAGATAATAAAAAACAACGAAAAATAAACGAAAGAAAGAGTGAACGTTAAAAAAGGAAATTAAGAAGAAAATGTTCTAACCACATTATTGTTTTAAAAAATGTTTTATTATTGCAAAATGAATACGAGAAAGTAAATAGTCAAATAAATAAAAATCCAAAAAATCATGTGTGCAGATCACACGTGTTAGAAGTGAAACCTTCAAAAAACTAAGATTCTCTCTGCGAGAGAATGAGACGAATGGACAGTTTTAAGAGTAAGATAATTGTTGGATTTATTTATTATAATATTATTACTATATATAATAAAGGTCACCGGTATGGTCTCTGGGTGGAATAGCTGATAAAAAGTGCACTTTTCACAATTCAAGCAATAAAAACGGAATGCTGAATGCGATAGTTATAAATAGTCACCAAAATAGTAGGATGTTTATCAAAGAAAATATAATTCGTTGGAAACTAAGTAAATATAAAGTATCATTTTTTAACCGACTTCAAAAAAAGGAGGGGGTTCTCAATTCGGATGTTTGTATTTTTTCTTTTTTTTTTTTTTATGTATGTTCGGGCATAACTCCGTCATATATAGACGAATTTGCAAAATTCTTTTTTTGTTCGAAAGGGGTTTATTCCGAAATGGTCCTATTTAAATTTCATATCGATCTGATGATGAATTTCGGAGACAGAAAACGGAACTCTTTAAAAAATGACAGCAAATCAACAGCGATTTCTGCTATGGCATAAATATGCATTGTTTACGCAATCACACAATATTACGTAACGCCTGTACACTCGAAAGGGTTACGCAGATGTATTCAGAATATCAGGATACACCTAGATTTTCTATCAAAGTAGTAGTTGCATATTTTTTCGCGACTGGAAGCTAGTCAATCAAGCTTAAAAAAAAGTTTTTTAACAAAAAAAAGACCGACTTCAAAAAACTATACTGGCACTAAAAAGTTTAAAATAACAGTTTTTGGAATCGGTGGCAAGCCCTACACGATAGATTACAATATTACTAATTTGTGTTTAGTAGCATTCTTGCACTGTCTAACAAACATTGTAGGAATGACGAAATAAAAATGTTACAAAAAACATATGGAAAATACTGCTGGACTGAACAAAGGTTCTGGTAAAATGCAATGAGAGATCTAATAGAGATATTCTCTACAAAAGTTTTTTCAACACTGTAGCCTGCCACACTTTAAAACCCTTATTATCTATAACATATCTCTTCTTTATTCTTTGGACCACAAACTTATCTTTTTAAATACTATCGTATAAATAAAGATCTGAACAACGAAAAATCTAAAAAACGCATTGAATCGTATCGCTCTCTCAGCTTATCGAACTGTGTAAACAACGAGTTTCGAATTTGGGACCCGTGATAAACTCCACCAATTCATGCTGGGCGTTTAGCCTGTTTTAAAAATGTTTTTATTTGATTAAAAAATTAACATAAATTTCTTTATTACGTAAATATATTACAATTATAATATAATTTTTTTGTATTCCTGGGTCAATACAAGTCTTTGTATATTTTTTATAAAAACATATAAATATGAAATTCAATAGACTTATTTAAATCTTAATGAATCGAATATATTCTATGAAGAAGGAAAAGAAAAATGTAACAGTAATTTACTTGCTTTTGAATGGAATTTATCAGCTGCTCCTAATTTATTCCACAGTTTTCTCTAATTCTTTTTCTCTGATGTATATGGTAATTTTTTTTTTTTTAATATTTCAGACAATACAATTATTATATTCTATGTATGTATTATATATTCTATGTATTTCATAATTATTAATTATAATATTTGCGAAATAAATAATTTAATAATAATTTTGTAATAAAATAAAAAATTTTTAAATAGAAAAGGAATGACACGTTAGGTAAAAAAAAAATACACCATATTTGCTATTATATTTTCAATAAATATAATACAACTTACTGTAGAAAAATAGAAAAAATAAAAAATGAAATGGAGTAGTTAATCTTATGAGACTTGATCCAGCGATCT